CTCTCTCTCTCTCTCTCTCTCTCTCTCTCTCTCTCTCTCTCTCTCTCTCTCTCTCTCTCTCTGTCTCTTTCTCTCTTTCTCTCTCTGACGTCGTTTTCTCACCCCCTCTTCTCCCTCTTCCTCTCACACATACACTTTTCCTCTCTTTCTCTCTCTCACTCTCTCTTCTCTTCGTGAATCTCGATCCTGCGTGACGTCCACCACCACGTCGTTACTCTCTCGCTCTCACGACATGCGTCACTGCCAACCGGGCTAATACGATCTCCGATCCGCACACGAGCCAATCACACAACCGCCCGTTGGCTCTCCTTTCAGCAGCCTCGACATGTTTTATCGGTCCTCCTTCGACAACGATCAGTCCTACCGTGATCACCCTATCCGTCTTCCAACGCCAGAGATCAACGTGATCGGCCGTGATCTACGAGCGCTCTCGGATCAATTCGCACATCGGGTACCAAGATATTCAAGTTTGCCACTTGTCTCGGATCAATCGGCGACGTTAGCGGGAGAAGTAGCCGGCCGGCTGACTGGCTGGCTAGTCGCACGCTGAATATGAACCACCGCCAGTCGGTTCGTTGCCTCGTCCTCGAACGGACACCTACTCTTGTGGAGACCCGTTTCACTCTCAATTGTGCTCTATAGTCTCCTACCCGTTCACTTTCGCTTACGAAAGCGCGAGCTCCTTTTACGTGTGGATGCTGGATACGTCGAATGTTCCACTTTTGATTGAACGCTCTACTAAATAAATGGATCCTTACTACTGCTGGCTCGGGGATGTTGAAATATTCAACTCCTTGAATTGTCGAATGTGTTCGAACCTATGAACCATTATTCTTGGACCATCTCACCGATTGCCGCTTTCTATTAGAATCTCTCTTTCTATCTCTGTTTGGAATTGTGAAGTACTCCAATTTAGGTGATCGCAGGTAGTGTCCCTCAAACTCTAATTGTAAGATATTGCTGATTTTCCTTGGAACCTTGAATATTTAGATTTTTCATTGAGAAAAATCAGAGAATAAACATTTTAGATTCCAGACTCTTCAGGATTGTATGTCCTCAGTATATAGTATATTCGAGCCTTTAAATCCTGATATGCTTGACCCTTTAAATTCTGATATACTTGACCCTTTAAATCCTGAAATATTTGACCCTTTAACATTCAGATCTATTTGTCCTTAAACTCTGTCCAGAGTTTTTCAGTCTAAAATTATTTAAATGTTCAGTAAATCTTGCAGTCTTTAGATACCTTAATCCAGTGTCCAAGGTCTCTCAGAGAGAGATTCGTATGGAGCTTTGAATATCTGGATCTTCAGATCTTCGACGTGTTGACTCCACGCTCGAGTTCTAACCTCTTCAAATCCAAAATACCCGAGACCTCCAGTCTTTAACATCGAAATGCTCGGCTGCTCAATTCTCCGATTCAAGGTTCAGTAAATTCCATCTGTTCGCCACACAAGAACGTAATCCGTGCGTCAACGAAACACCTAGGCACAGGTCGCACAAACGATTTGTCAAAATGACGCTGGACTTTTCCGAGCTAACCACGAAGATCGCGAGATACCTCGCGACCGATAGAGATACGTAATACCAAGCGAGCTGTGGCACGCGTGTTGAGTGCAACGTATTTTAGCGTCTTCGCGGAAAGTTCGTTCGGCCACGGCGAGAGCGACGTGAACGCGACGAGTCGAATCGAGCCGCACGCACTCTCCGACGCACCGTGAACTCCGAAAACTGCGCGCACCGTAAACCGGTAAAAAGAGCCGGGTTTGAACGACGTTCGAACGCCGTCACGATCGGAGCAAGTCGACGCGGAGCGAGACGCACGACGCTTACTCGAAGGCCGATCACATAGCTGGTCCTGGAGTCGCGTCAAAACTACAATATCGATCAACCTCACTCCGCGACGGCACCGAACGTACTGAAGTACGACGCAGCTCAGTTCGGCCACACAACGAATCGCCGCGTAGGTGGCGAACGCGCCGCGCAATGACGTCACACGACTCGGCACGGCGTCGTGGAACGATGAGGGGAACGTCGATAGCGGCGTGTCCGGTCGCGAGGTAAGGTCGCGTTTTACCTTACCGACGCGCGCCACGCGGTGACGTTAATATCAAAGGAGCTCGCTGGAATTATTCTTCAGGTACTGCAAGCAGAGCTCGTTTCAGCCGGACGCGGGTGACGTCGATTCCTCTTACACTTTTACAGTGGAATCATAAATTCGCGTGCGAGAGCTCCCAGATCGATTGCGACTACAATTTGGATACATGGATTCATGTTCCCGCCATATCTTCTTCCGTGCTTTTGTACCGCCAATTTTAAAAGAGATGGCGCGTTAGATAACGATATCACTAATTAGCGGCTAAATAATTTTAACTAAATATTTATAGTGCTACTATTTATAGTTTAGAATCATGCCAAATATATCATAAATCTTACAGAGATCCATAAGTCATAAAAACTCACGTTTCGATCATGATTCGATTATTTTCTTATTGCTTTGGCATTATAATGATTTTCTGTTCTATGTGTATTGTGTATAATAACTTAATGGAATGTCAATTGAATGTTCGGTATATAAATAACAATTAATAAAACAGAACATTAATTGATAAATGGCAATAAATTGATTGATCGAATAAATTAATTAAAGCTAATATATATTTTTGATATTTGTCGAAAAATAATGACTCGAGAATAATGTGTGCTCCTGTTAAAGTGCTACACTCATTTAAGGACGTAAAAATTTCACGGTCTGCAATACCAATGAACCAACAAAAAGATATTTCCGGCGATCGAGCGCGTCTCATCATCGCCCGTGAAATTTTTCCTCTTGTCCAATCATAATTTAATTCGGCATTCTCGCGCCGTATGGTCTATAAACTTTAAGATTTATCGAGGCTGAAAGGCGATGCGTTAGCAATGGGAGAATGTGAAAATAAGATGAGAGTAACGAAACGAAGGATGGAAAATCAGAGAGGAAGCGCCGACTAACCTTCCGTCTTTAAGCTCTCTGCCTTCATCTCTTCTCCTATTCTCATCTCCTCTATCGGGGCTCCTCAAGACGTGTAACGAATCAATTGAGATCCGAATCGAGCACAAATTCAGATAAGTAGAACCGGAGCGTCGGCTAAATAGGCAAGACATTGTGATGGGATAACGAGAACTCGAGGACTGACTTGTCAATTATTCCAGACCAACTGCACATTTTATATTTTCTCGAAGTATGCATGTATTTTTCGCGAATAACAAATAACGAGATCTGGATTTTTCGTCGGTAACATCATCGATCAAAACTATACTAATAATAATAATAGTAATAATAATAATAATAATAATAATAATAACAACAATAATATCTCTAGCAATAATCGCCGCTAATATTAATCGTTAATAGTTGAAATCTTAAAGTATCATCATAAGTAAATCATAAGTAAGATTTATTATTTAAAGGGATGCTACGATTTTATTGCATTTATTAATATCACAATTAAAGAAACAATTAAAATAACAATTTTGTATATTCCCATAAAAATTAAACCTTTTCCGGATAGATCGCATTTACGTGATATCGTTTTTATAAACATATTACTTATATTGAAGTTACATTTCTGTCTTCCATAGATTGCACGTACGTACATTAAGTCTACACATGGCTTCGCGACACATCTGCATTAAATAAAAATCAACTCAAGATTAGTATAAAACCATACTGAATACTTAAAAATAATGATACTGAAACATTGCTTCTGATTATCATTGAATCGTTACTTTTGCACTATCGATTTTCTAATCCTTAAGGGATAAAACTTTCGGAAGCTTTATCTGCATGAGGACGAAACAAACAGTCGGGGACCCCTCGTAGGAAAGCGAGCTGTTTTTCACGAAGATTCACAACCCAATCATTTCTTTTTTAGTTCCATAATGTCCTTAAGACGCAACACGATCTTGGAGAGGAAATCCTGAAGAATCGGTTGTCGTGCTTTGCCGACATCCATTACTTCCTCGTGGTTAGCCTCGCAGTGATCATCATAATCGATAACGCACTGATTAGTGATGAGACTAAACGCGAAAACAGTCAGGTCGCAATGTCGTGCGGTGATCACTTCATGAACCGTGGACATGCCTGTGTGTTACAGCAATTATCAGTAGAACAAGTTTCGTAAGAAGCAGCTTTATAAGAAGTATGTATTGCCTGATTTGCTTTATAGTTTCGATCACTCTAAATGACGTTATATAGATAAGAGAAGCGTGTAGTTGCAAAACACATTAAGTCTATAGTAAGCTATTTTGCAGAGGATAGGAAAAAATCAATTGCTTATCTATGAATCAACATATGTGTGATATATTGGCGCAGATATCATCAGCATACTAAACACCTTTATTTTGCATTATGTTAGCATTTATTGCAATTTTAATGATCGTTGGAATGTCATTTACGTAATGACAATGAGAATATAATTCTCATATATTATAATTCTCTAGAGATAACTTTGCTGATCAGCATATGACATCAACACACTTTTAAAGCACGTAAACATTAATAAACATTACTTGAAATTTGCTTCACGTGAGGTGCTCAGATCTGAGTATCTCACTTGAGACAAGTTTCAAATAACGACTATTAATTGAACTCAATCAATTAATTGAATAAAATCACACATACCAACTGCATCGACGCCCATCATCCTCAGCATCTTCAATTCCGCCACCGTCTCGAAATTAGGTCCACCCAAACACGTGTAGACTCCTTTATGCACAATGTTACTGATATCCATTTCTTCAGCGACTTGTTTGCCGATCTCCATTAGAGTGACGTTGTAAGCTTTGTTCATCGGTGGAAATCGAGGACCAAATCTAAGATGAAAAGAAATAAGCGTGTTGAAAATCGATAATAAATAGGGAATGTTAAACAACTGATGAGGACACACGTATATTATCGTTGTTCTTATACATTGACACTTCAGTAATACATTTATTTATTATTATTGAAAAAATGAAGATTTACACATTTCCTTCGTATTTAATTCATTTGCAGAAAACCTGACAGACTCGATGAAAAAGTGAAATTCGCGCTGTTAACGAATTCGAATCCGCTTTTGCCGGCTTTCGCGAGGAAAAACGTCGCCAAGACTCGTCAGATCTTAAGAGATCCATGAGGAGGTCTCGAAAAAGAAAACGAGAAAGGGAGAGAGAGAAGGAGCGAGTCTTGTAGAAAAAGAATAGAATTAATTTATTTCATTGGAATAACCCCTTGAATCGGATTGATGAACTATTTACACGGCGACATAAAGAAGCTGATTGACGTATTTGCTCAGCACACAAAGTCTTTCCGCGCTCTGCCGCAGCCTTGCCCCCACCCTTTCGTCCTATCTCCCACCACGATGTCCTTTCTATCCCCTTCCATTGACACCTTTTTCCCTGAATCCTCTTACAACTTCTTAACCAGCTCGTTCTGTCGTCAGTTGTACCTGTTCTCGTTTCCAAGCCGAGTCAACTGAATTTTTTGTCACGAGCAGTTATGAAAACATAATCATTCTTCTCTTTCTCTTTTTCTCTTTCTCGATGCTTTCCTGAGTGATCTTTCTTCGCCCATCTAATTTAAAATTTGATATAAGTCGAGGAAAAAGTTCAGTTCCGCATAAGACCCACCTGTCATCGTTCGGTCCTTGAAGCGGGTTGTTTCCAGCAAAACCCATCATGTTCACATGATCCTTCATTATCATGATGTCACCAACTTTATAAGTAGGATTTAGACCACCGGCCGCGTTCGTGGCGATTAAATGTGTAACACCCACCAGCTTCATCACCCTGACCGGCATGGCGCACTAGGAAAATCATCACGTCTTATTTTGATTAACATAATACCCTATATCGACGGGTATTCATTAAGACTGTACCTTCCAAAGCGGGTATCCCTCGTAATAATGAAATCTGCCCTGCATACACATGACCGGCACACCTTGAAGATAGCCGAAGACCATTTGACCAGTATGACCTTTTACCGTGGACGTCGGGAAATGTGGAATTTCCTCGTATGGGAAGCATTGCTTGTCCACAAGGGATTCCGCAATTGAACCTGGACACAACTCGTTTTGCTCATATGATCCTGTTTAGGAATAAACAAAGCTGTGATACGATATGCACACCGAAATCCCACGACACCATTCATGCAATACAATACCAGCCATTATTATATCCGATATTCTTCGTGCAAACTCCTTCCGAAAATCATATCGTGCGGGAAACTTGAACAGTGAGTGATTAAAGAACTTTGCGGAAACTACTCAGTTATTCTTTTTTCTCAAATTAACCGAACAAAACAGCAGGTAATAAATAACGTTACTAAATATTGCTGTTGTTAATTCTCCGAGTTCCCCGAGGTGTTCCAACATATTTCGTCAGTTAATATAAAAAGTCCGAGAAAAATAATATATCTGAAATTTAAAGTAAGATTTATAGTATTATCGGATTCTCAACTATTCCGGAAGAAATGATTAATCTGTTGCTGAGGACGTTGCTGCTTTATTTCAATTTGTTAACTGGATCACTCCTAAAACGGACATTTGAATTTGACTAAGATGTGTAAGTGAAATTAAGTATAAGTAAGTGAAATTAAAAGAGAAGCGAAGAAAATACAATGCTCTCGCGTTGTAAAAACGAGAAAACAAGTGTTATCGTTGTTATCTCGGTAGACAACTTGTTGTCTTCCTTATTCGTAGAAATAATCTGCGATAAGTTAGCGTCACAAATGTATATGTCGAAATATATGCATTATGTACATATCTAGTGTATTTGCAATAATAATTGGCTAACTCCAATACCAATTCCTAAAAAAGCTCTTTCATACCTGAATGAAAATGCTGACGTATACAATTGCATATCTTATATTATTACAGAATTAAATTATTACAGGAAATATAACAAATTCATAACCAATCACACTTACAACCCGAACACCCAATAGAAACATGAATTGTAATATTATGAATGATTAGATCCCCTTTAATCCACATATACAAAATTGTCACATATTGATTGTACAACACCAATTTGCATAAAAAAAATCAAGCAATTATAAGCAAACTATATATTTTAAAAAAGTGCAAAACTACAAAATAGACTTTTCAATGTTCAGGTATTCGAATATCCGAGTTTTCTGGATATATGCCAGGTACTTGAGTATGTACAGATTGATACCTGAATATAAAAATCACCCGATTTATACTGTCAGTACTACTACTAACCCAGTCCTGAACCGCATATAATTCCTATCTTCGGCTTGATCCTTATGCGATCCAACAAATATTGTGCGGACTCTTGCAACGTTTCGAAAGAATACCTGAAAAATTACAATGAACATTCAATATTCGCTGCAATACACATGCCAAAAAATTGAACTGTTCAAAATCAAACGTATAGGTTCATATGGTTATTTACATATTACGTATTATCAGGGTATCCCATTTATATTTATAAATCAAATTTTAATTACAAGCTCCTCATCAAATTATAATAAAAACATTTTGAAAAGTCCAAAAATGTGTATCTGATAATTCCTCTCTAAAAAAATTTTAAAGGATCTCCTTTAAGTTATGCCTACAAACTACCCAGAACCTTTAAACACTCTTGAAAGCCTTTGCGCGGAAATGTCGAAACAAAAGTTATAATTTGCTGAAAGTTTCTAATTTTCGGAAATAATTATATTTATAATGAACTATTAGATATTGTGGTGTACGATATTACGAAATAGTTTACACATAGAGGAACCGTTAATGATACAAGGGGACTCTTAGATGCACAACCTAACATCGTATCCGTCGCCTTCTCTCTATGTCGATATCACAGAAACATATTAAAGCGTATTCAACAGATTGGTACTGATTAAGCGGTCGTCGTACCCGTTGCTTTAGCTTCCACGATCGCTCAGCTATATTAAACGTTCCATCATAATTGCATGTAATTGCATACCTTGTAATTGCAGGCTTCGCGGTGATGATAACTATAGAAACCAGCTACCACCGTGAAGTCCTACTAGTGTAAGCAATTTCAAAATTTCAATACTACGAAAGTGGTCACTCACAATAACACGGCAAATTTATATATTTAATATTTATCAGGATTGAATTTTATGATAATACTCCGAAGTCTGAATGGAATTTTCAATTCTCCGATTTCGCAAAAATCAAAGCTTGACTTTTCGCATTTTGACATTCTTCAAGTCTCAAATTCTTCAAAATTCGAATTCTTGAATCATTGAGACTTTGAATTCTGAGACTTGATGTCTTGCGTTTTGTGTAATGGTCGAAATGAGCATTAAAATAATCAAACAACTGCGAGCGAAGTTATACTACAGCATTTGAAAAGTCATGTGAGCGCTCATTCATTTCAATGAACGAAAATTTTGAGTGTGCATTTATGCACACGTGTATGTATGCATTATAGATGAGTTGTACGCGGATCCTGCATACAGGGTATAATAATAACTGCTAAGAAAAACTAGTACTTTTTAGGAAGAAGTACAGATCAAACACATCTTTGTTCTAATTAGGTTCTCAGATGCATCTGTCAATTATTGTCTACCCTGAATATAATCCTAACAAGCGAACGAATAAAATAAAAGATTATAAATTCACATCTACCGCGGTGAAAAATGCTTTGTTTCAATTTTCTGGCACTATAATTCGACTAATATGCTAACTGAATCATTAAGATACAGGAATGCTGTATTTTACACGTTCGCGATTATGAATCACACATATGTGACACACTAATTCTAAAAAGAGACCAATGTCACGTATGGCAATGATCATTTTTTATTCCATGTCCATATAAAGAAAATCAATCTATTTTATACTATTATATAAGAAATATAAGATGGTTCCTAGATGAACAAATAGCGGAGGCATTAATTTTTTCTAAATCGTCCTTCATCCTTGAGAGATCACTGATGTGTCACCTAAACCACACACAAAATCTTCGAACTAGTCGATCATTCCCGATCCATTTAAAAAGCATTAAAGAGTCATCAAATCAAGGTGAACAAAGCAAATGATTTATCCGTAACGGAATGTTATCCATGAATGAATATCAAACAAATACCATAGCGAATTGAAAATAACTTTTTGCCGCAGCTAATATGCATCAATAATTTTTTTAAATGACATTGAAAGACAATAAAGAAGTTGCGCTACCCAATCACTTCGGTAGAATAATAAATCAGTTTATAATTCTTATATAACAAGTCAGCTTACTTTTTCGCTTCGATTAAATATTATTTTCGAACGGGAGAATAATCCTCGCGAGTATCCTCTGATTTGAGCGTTGCTTTGGTCGAAAATGCTCTCTAATTAATTTAATCAGTAATCAAGAGGCTTATGCAGTGAGTAGATTTTTCCAGAACACCCCGTATACTCGCATTTCGCGTACACACACGTGTTCCGATGCATGATTTGTAATACCCCTGAAGCCTGCGTTACGCATTTAGCTTAAATCCCCTACTATTTGAGTCTGCCGGTAGTTTAACAGGTAACCGCACCGTTTTGTACTAGCTTCAGAGCGAAATTACGTTGAATTGCAATGAACGCGGGCGCATTCGTGCACGCATCGAATACTTCGCTCGTTCCTTTTGCGTTACATTGCTGAAGCGCAGGCTTAACTAATTCGTGATATTGACAATCGTGCATCCAGCAAAGAGAAACGAAATCATCATGCATTACACGAACTTCAGAGCTCACTAATTCTACTACATCTTTGATTAGATTTCTTATTATTACAACAACTATGTTGAAATGCCATTAACCTTAAGATAAGATAAGCTGTTTCGAAAGAAATTTTTGTAATTTATTTTCAGCTCATTTAAATGAACTCTGGCCACGATTTTTGCTTAAATATTAGCCACAAAAGTGTTTTACTATTACACTTTAGATGGTCATAAAAAAACATAATTCGTAATAACATTTTTGCTTCGCGTTATTTTACTCCGTCGTGCTGTTGCGCATTTGTGCTAATATTCACCGAATGAATCCTTTTCGAACTAAAGCATCCTATTCAGACACTGGTATACATCGCTATCTATAATAAGAAAGATAAGAAACAGTAATCGCTAACTTATAGTTAGAATTTAACCCGTGATAAATGTTTATTTAACAGATGTCCTTATTTAAAAAATGTCCTTTGAATTTAACGATACATATCCAAAATTTCCGGCTCAAATTTTGCTTGAGAAACGATAGACAGTAAAATTAAACGACATATTATGAAAAGATAACAATAAAAAGGCAATTTCTATCAAGAAATATAATATTTGCTTCAATTTTTGCTGTCAATAAATGCAGTATTCGCTTCAATCCCTCTTTTCAATCAATGGATTCAATATTTGCTACAATTCTTACTCTCTAACTACTCAAACAATTGAACCTCCAGATATTACGAATCGATCAAACAGTTCGACCATTAGTTTCTTTTCAGCTACATAAATTATTTGCAAGTTTGAACCTTATATCACTCAAATAATTTGAGCAGGTGCTCATTTGTATCTGTATTTAAGCTCTGATTTCGGTTTTTTCTTCGTCAATAATCATGATATACGAATATCTGAACATAAGACGTTCCTTCCGGGAAAATGTCTCTAGGAAACACGGTTAATAATTGTTAAGATATTTAAAGATCTTAGTACACTCTCTGAAAATACCACGAGAGAACCTCAAACCTGACTTACGTGTTTCGCACATGTTTCGCGTTTGTATCCATCGCACTGTCGTTATTAATCGATCGCTTAGTGGCTGGTAGACTGTCGTGACCGTTGGCAGTATCCGGGAAAGGCATTTTCGCGACTAACGGCGTACGAAACGAGTATCACTCGTCAACGACGGCTAATAAAGATGAAGAAGCAACAAGAGGGCGACTGACCGATCAATTCGCGTTTGTATATCGCGTGCTGGCGACAAGTGGCTGACGTGACTTTCATGTGCGCTTGTTTTATAGAGAAGCCTAAGGGGTCTCGGGTCTAAAAACGTGAGCGCAAATAAACCGACCAATGATATGGAGTGCGTGTAGATACACCAGCCAATCAGCATTCACAAAGGTCGAAGCGTCACGGAGCTCGAACATTAGGAGGGAATCAGTAGAAGAGGAAAAAGAGACAGAAAGAGGGAGAAAGAGGAGCACGCAATGATAACCCATTATAGAGCACACAAGTGTGCCAATTATTGTTATTTATTTCGACGATGACGTCGATGTCGACAAAGCGTGAAACCTCACGCAGCGCAATAATATTCCAGCCGGGGTAACATTCCGTTCTACCAATGAGATCGCTCTTAATTGGGTTTATTTTAACGAGTCAATAAATTTGCTCAAAACGATTGCCGTAAGTACTCATTATTATTAATATTATTGATAAAATTATCATTAGAAGCATTAGAAATCGCGAAATCTAAGTACTCAAAGATCTAGAAGATACACATGTAATCGCAGCTTATTATGATAACAGCTTAAATACGATTGATTTATAATATCAAACTTATAATCAATCGACTCGATTTTTCTTAGTATTTCTGCGTTAATACATCAAAGAGCTTCTTTCATTCACTCAAACTTGTGGCTGTTATCGTAAGAATAAAATTAAATTAATGATTAAGAAACTGAATAAGTAACATCGAGCTTTTATCTCCGCACTGACTCAGAGAACAAGTATTTAAATAATTCAAAAACTACATAGTAAAACTCTTAATTATGCGTAGAGGAAGTAAAGCGGCGATATTATCAGCGATATCTATTCGTTTGATTATTGCCGTTTAGTATATTCGCATCTTACGCAACAGCTAAAGGCTTGGCAAAATTATTCAAGAATTGTATTTGTCATGTCCGGTATCCGACATAACAAATGTACTAGATATCGCACGAGGTGTGGTATCTGTCGCAAAATTAATGAGAGTGCTAATGAACAGAAAAAAGAACAGAAAAACAGAAAAAAAGATTTTTCTTGCATACATTTTGAAGAACCAAGGTAATCCTCTTCAAAGCAGCAACTCGGAAAATGACGAATCGGCAGGGAAATAAACAGCAAGACGTTTTTTCACATCGACAATCAGTAGCGGGTAATTTTAAACCAACGGTCCTTTTACTTGCGTCACTTGTTCGATCACGTTTTTCGTAGTGGTTTCAGTTGCGCCCGAATGACGACTTGTCACACGCACTGTCTGTGGACAAATTTATAGCCACGATGCACATCCTAGTGATTAGAGCGTAACGACATCTCTCATAGGTATCTCAACCCGCAGATAAGCTTGTCTTTCCGGTAGAATTTATCACGACGCGATTAAAAAATTTGAGAAGCTGATATAAGCGAACGTAAGTATATATCGAACAAAGATTTCCGTTACTGCTTCCGGGAACGGAAGAATAATTTGTACCACTTCGTCGCGTCCTGATGAAGTTACTCTGAAGATCACCTTGATTTGTAAAAGTATATGCAAAATATTTTTACGATCTCATTGCTTTTGCGAGATATCTTGTCAATACAAAAGGTTGCTTGGAACAGAAGATACATTTCGAATGTTGTAGTCGTGTAATTATAATATATCGATCAGAGATATTATACTATATCAAGACAAATTTTACTCTGTTCGCGTGTACCCTTTTCAAAGTCGATCGGCACATCGTAATCGAAACTTAGCAATAATATTTTCTTGCAATTGTTATCAGAGATTGTGATTCTTCTCTTGCGACTATCAGATCTTCGTGTTCATTGTCGAGTTTTAAGCACTATCTTTACAACTGCTCATTCGGAAATAACTTCATTCGCTGTAGGTTGGTTAAAAGTTGAAACACAACTGGGTCGAATTGGGGAAAGCCCTAATTCGATCATGGAACATTTGGCTTCGTTGATTTTCGCCAAGACGTGTCGAGTACCAATAGGCATGCACGAGTGAAATGCGCAAAGGCATTCTCATGAGATGTTATTAGGTAGTTACTGTGCCTTGGAACATACCGTGCGCGCATATGGCGACACGTGCCCCCAAGGGCACGTTCGCCCGCTCGCACCTTTTGCAAATTCAGCTTGACTTGGATTAGGTCGAGCTAAGTTTAAACATACTCAACGCTTTCCCGATATTATCAATTAACGCTGTTAGTCCTGAACTTCCATTTATTAAAAGGCAGATCTTTTCTTTCTATTTTCTTTCTATTATTTTTTCCATATAACTACACTGACAGTTTAGAAATTTTTTAGGAACTTCTTTCTAGCGCAATTTTTGAAATTCTACTGCAAAACGATTTTTTATTAACGAACGCGATGTACTGGGCGTGACAGCGAAAAGTTAGACTACATAGTACCTAGAATCAAGTGTTTAACACAGTTGCACGCGTTGTGTAAATAAGATAAGGAATAAACCTTTCGTGGTAAAAGAAAGTAAAATTAGAAATCGGATGATGTGTGTCGATATCATTATTTTCCGTTAAAGTATATTATATCCAGTTTTTACTTCTAAGATAAAATAGATATAATTAAAATTTTTCCACAGAAGTTCGATAATACGAACGGATAAGACAATTTTATCTGTCAGTTTTTCTAAATATCTTTTATTTAGATAAGTGTGTAACATACGGAGATATTAGGATAAATACATAATTTCCTATTAAATTCTTGACAAGATAAAGCTTAGCAAAAAGCTTAACTTATGCAAAAATTTGTAACTAGAAAATACCTTTTTATTTACTCTGTGTATCGAAAAATAGATACACGAAACTGTCTATAATATTTAGAAAAGTACTTTCACTACTAAGAGAGACTTTTTTTTATCATCAATTTTTTGCAAACAATTTCATTCTTTAGTACTATCCTCTCTTGTGAATTTATTACATTCCCAAAAATTAATTTTGTTAACAAGTCAATGCAAAATGTAGCAATACAAACGAGAAAGTTTGTAAAAGATATAGTTCTCTTTTTTGTAAAAATAGCGATATTAAACTGCGAGGAGTGAATCGATTCAGCCGTTGCATTACGATTAAGAAGTTGATTAATATCACGCTTAACGATGCCATAATTCTTTAGGCACGATTGCACTCTTAATTTTAAACAGAACTTACGATAAGTTATTATGCCTCTCGTGGGTCAAGCGATAAGATAAATCTCCAGTAGAACTGTATGAATTATATTTGGGTTTAGTTTGGTTGACATTGTGTTTGCTCTCAGTATCGTCATCCTTTTATATCACTATTATTTGTACATTCCAGTAAAGCAATAACACATATAATTGTCTTATAAAATATTGATTTTTCTTCTTAAATTTCTTAACAATTTTAAGGACGTCACTATTATTTTATATATCCTTATACACTATAAATCATTAAATACATCTATAAATATCTTTTCTTCTCTCTTCTTTTTTTATTTATTTATTTATTTGATTTTTAGAGACATGTGTTGCATAGAAATATACTAATAAGGTTTACCAAAATTCGCCGTTTGGAACAGAAAAATATAAGAGTTAAAGACTTTCTCGATAAAATAAATATTATCAGTTTACTGAAGTAAGCAAGTAAGCGCAATACAATCGTCATCACGAAAACAAGAACCCAAGTGTCAACCGCACAAATCCACTGGGGTTCTGCTTTATCGCTTGACCTGATAATAAGTTATCGTAAGCTTCGGTAACAAATTTAAAAGCGCAGTAGCGCTTTTTTAAGTACTACGACCACCACTGAATAAATTATGTAACCACACAAGATGTATTAATTATAAGATAAGTTGATTATGCACATAGCATCTCTATATATGTCCACGCATGTGTACGCATGTTGGCTATCAGTTTTAACATTCTTCTTTGTTTCTTAGATGAAACTAATGACTGTATTAATAGTCTTTAGATTTATTATTGAGGGCATATCAAGCGATACGATCTCAAGGTTTTTTGACTTGAGAAGTAAACTATTTAATAAACAAGTTTTGAGTATTATCCATGTAAGACGTTTTCAAATTGAGATGAAATTGTCGTCTAATTTGATACGTTTCTTACTGGACTACACTATCCATCTGATACTTATCGTTATTAGGAAATTGTAAATAAACAGCATGTTTATGCAGAAGTCATACCCGATATTCGTCTGATATGTGGAAAAGTTTCATACGTTTATTTGAACACTGGTGACAATAATCATTCGCGACCAATTCAATTTCTCACGAGATCTCGCGAATTAATGATGTTGCAAGTAATGCACATACAACACATGTGTTTTCTTGATTGATATACGCATAATAGAATTGCCCCCGATACTTAACCATGAATTTAAAGATGCATATGACGCATATAAAATTATACAATCACGACTTTCAAAGCGCTATTTGAGAGCAAAATATTCTTTTTCCACGCGAGCGTATCGTCGCGCGTGTCGCTAAAAAACAATAGTATTCCAGCTAATTGCAATGAAATCTCGTGCTAACAGAGCTCGTCTCACAGCGTCGTATACTCTGGTTCGCAGGTCTTGGTTTATCTTTAAATTTCACGTGTTTGTTTGCAAAACACTTGTTTCAGTTGAAAGTTTCAGCAAAAAAAAACGATTATTAATACGATCCTATAATATTCTTGTTTTTATTACGCAATTCTGGCTACTCTCGATCGATAACATTGCATTACATGCATGAATTCATTGGCACGGCCAAGCGAATATTTTACTCCTCTTATTGTCTGACGAGGTAGTCGCTGAGTAGCGTTCGTATAATTAACATTGATCAATTATTGACCCATGCACGACAATTCGTCGATACCCAGACAACATGAACTCTAAAAGCGACGCATAAAATGAATTTAAGATACCTTTACGAAAAATTAGAAACAAATCGGAGTTCGCAACAAGTAATAGCGCATTGCCAGAATATTTCACAGTCTGTAACATTCGGCGGGCTTGTGCGTTTTTCCGATAAAATTACAATTGATGCACTCTCTTGGTCATACCCAGACAGCACGAGCTCTGAAAGTGACGCATAAGATGATTTTAAGATACTTTTTAATCATCTTTATGATATAATTGTACTTTTATCTTGTACTTTTAAAATTGCAATTTTATCGGAAAAACGCATAAACATGCCGGATCCCTGACGAAAATAAAAAGTTTTATAAACGTTTGTTTAGTGTTTACGTAAGCGTTTGCGGGAGTTCGTTGAGAGTTTAAAAATTGTCAGTAGAGCGGAAATTGCAATACTGTAGCGTTTGAAAGGTGTTTGCATATTGGAAGAGCGTTTGCTGAACGGAGAGAAAACGCTTGTCTTACAGCATTGTGGGAAAAGTGCTTTTTAAATGTTTTAAAAGTCTGACAGCAAACTCTCTGCACGAAGGTGTATCAGCGTTTACTGAGCGTACTTTGAAAAGCGTTGCTTCAACATTGCAGAACTTTCACAAAATGTTATATATAGCATTTGATAAGTTCTGAAAACGTTTTGAAAGCGTTCAAAATCCAATGGCGTTGAGTAACCGTTCATACAAAGTTTGAAAGCGTATAAACTCTCAGGAAATTCTCATCGAACGGTTTATAAAGAGTTTTATTTTCGCCAGGGATGTTACAAACAGTGAAATATTCTGGCAATGCGCTATCGCTTGTTACGAACTCCGATGTGTTTCTAGTTTTTCGTTTCAGCTTCGTACACTTTATGCGTTAAATTTCCTCGTAAAGGCGCATAAATTTTATTCAAAAAAAGAATGTATTATAATTAATTATTAATAATATATTGCTATTAATTATTTATTATTATTATTATTATTTCGGCTTTTCTTGGTTTTTCCGGTATTTTTCGGTTATTCTCAATTTCTTTCAGTTATTCTCGATTTTTTTACAATCTTTTTCGGTTTTCCTCGGTCTTTTTCGGTTATTCTCCGTTTAGTTATTCTTATCAAATTAGAAGTGCTTTCACCAGGTTAAAATACAAACATTAATAAATTGTTTATACTATACAGTTGCATAAAAAATATTTATTTACCGACGATCAACAAACTTAAAAACCTTTTTACCGATCTAAATCAATGAATACAAATTTCTATGATTTCATGCAATTATAGCGTAAAACATTCATTAAATGTTTGTATTTTTATCATGTAAAAGCACTTTCAATTCGACATGTAAAAATGTTTATTTACCGACAGTCGAAAAATTAACTTTACCGACAATCTGCAAATAAGCAGTTTTTTAACGACTTTACGCAACTATATAGCGTAAAATATTCATTAATGTTTATACTTTCATCCTGAAGAAACACTTTGAACAATATTATATATAAAAGTAACTGCAATACATTATACATTTATGGTTAAAGGCAGACAATATTAATGCGAAAATATGGGTCAACTCCGTAGCTTATTCTGAATAAAGATGGCGGGAATTTAGAGAAGGAGCTCTATTCATATGTATTTATTAGCCTACTAAACAACAAGTAGGAACATTCGCGGTTGCGTATTTAACTTCAGGTTAACCAGACGCTGATAATAGCCATATGCCTGTAATTGTCTTTGCGCTTTAACCTTTCCATCACGCATTAACTTTTTCACTTCCTATATTATTCAAAATAGTATTATCGATAGTGTGCGGAACATTTGATTTAATTCTTTTTCACACACACAAACAAAGTAATACCTATTCAAAACTATTAACAGATACTGAATTATTTTTTGCTTTGATTTAACTGATAAAATGTGATTCTACCTAAAATATATCTAAAAGTATGCACTATTAGAAAATGTTATTTTAGATTGAACCGTATATTTTATTAATATCGTGTATTGTAGCAGACATTGTAACGTAAATATTAATATGTTTATTAATATAATGTTTTCAAATAACTTATGAAATCTTATGTTCAAATAAATTTCAACATTTCTGTTACAAAATATTAGTCTGTTGTATACCAAACATTTTCAAGTACAGGAAGCGTTTTGTCAAAAGAAGAAAAATAAAAAAGTACACGAAATTCAATAAAATGGAATAAATATATTACAAACGTGTGTGAAAATCGAATCTTTCTAGAGTAATGCTGTAAAGTGAACTCACAATAATATGTTTATTTAGGTCACGATTGCGTAGGAAAAGCGTAGTACAGATAGCTACACGATGTTTGCCTGTTTTTATTTATCTTAGGGGCGATTTAAAAGCCGCTGATATGATACATTAACAACGTCATTAGAGAATCCACGAGAAAATTTTATTTACTCACCATGATGAAATATTGCGAATATAGTTTGAACTTTCTACGTTCAAGTTTTAAATTGATCTTATCTTCAGTAATATTTATAGAATTACTCGAATAACTTATACCCACAATTCCCAGATAACATGCATATCTAAAAGATATCTTTTCGACATGCATGTTATCTGGGTTTACAGGTTTCTTTTATTCTTTCTTCTGACTTATTTGAGATTTACACGTTGGTATATTTCATCTTAGTTATACACAAAAAATCTGTGTACACATCTGTACATGAACAGTACTTCAAAAGTTCATATAGATGTAATTTTAAAGTCTATATAACTGGTTTGGAAAATCCTTAAAACTTTCTATAAATAAATTACTCATTTATAGTCCCTCCAAATATGCAAATGTTAGTCTATATCTTATTAATGCCAGTCTCTATATCTTCATTTGATAAGGAAACGTATTGGTCGATACGTTATCTTTTATCGGTAAAGCGGTGTATTATTTACTATCGATAAAAAATAAAATCTTGAAAGAAATTTCAACATTTAACAATAGTGTCGCTGTCATATTGACATTTCTAAGGCTTTCCAATTTGTTATGGACGCTACGTCAAAGTGAGATTCAGCTCTGGAAACCGTGAGAAATACTAAACTGTCATAACTGGACACATAATACGTTAGTATATTAATAAAGAACCAGCATAATTTACTAAATCTTTGTTTTAAAATCTATATATAAATATATATATATAAATATATATGCAAAAATATATATGTAAAAAGTTTGTAATAAAAAACATTAACCGATTGCTGAAATATATTTTTAATAAATCTAAGAGAATTTTATTGACAAGTATATTCCAACAAAATTCTGTATGTGTGAAATCTATTGACTCTTATATTTAATATCTTAGAAACGTGTTTCTTTAATTAAATTATAATTATATTATTTAATTAAATATATAATATGTGCACATAATTAAAATATTAAAGATAGTACTGTATAGTCTAGCAATGTAAGTTTTTGTTATTTAATAGATATATTTGTTCAACAGATATATTTAGCTATTTGTGCTAAATAAAGTTTTAACTTCAAAGATCATGTCAACTTTGGAGGATAAGATTTTGGGAGAGAAACTGCAGTACTATTGCAGCAGTTCCAGTGAAGATGAAGAAAACGATACTGGAGAATCGGATAAAGAATACGATGACATAAAGTATACTGAGGATAGTGCACAATATGCTGTACCTTCATATTCAGAATGGGATGGGACTTCCAGCAATACAGGACCTAAAGGTGTCATAAAGGTACAGTGATACTTGGTGATGAGAGATTCTTATAAAAATCTAAAAGATAGAATTAAAATATATGTTTAGAAGTAATTTTTAATAGTAACTTAAATTGTATTCTTTGAAGGACTGGCAACGATATAAACAGCTAGAAGCAGAAAAACAAGAGTCTCAAGAAAAGGAAAGGTTACAGTTAATGAAAAAACTGAGTTTAACATGTCGTAGTGCCTTGGATGAGGAGAGGGAAAAACTCAATGAGACAGATCCAGATCTGGCAAATTTACTAACTGATGAATTCCTTTTGGAATATCAAAGACAGAGGATGAAGGAGATGCTTGCAAAAGCAGAGAAGCTTCAGTTTGGAAAGGTTATTGATTTGGACAGCACAGACCAATTCTTAGAGGCTATTGATGAAGAAGATAAGTCAGTGACTATTATTGTTCACATTTACGAGCATAATGTACCTGGTTGCGAAGCTATGGACGGATGTTTAATATCACTTGCTAAAGAATATCCTCATGTAAAGTTCTGCAGAATTCTAGGTTAGTTAACGACAATAATATTACACATATGTTATAAAAATAGTCCCTTCATTCTAATTTAAATAAAAAAAATAGAATCTTTTTTCAATTATAATGTCACAAACATTTCTTCAATAATGAAAACATTTTATATTCTACTCTTCTAGGATCAACTGCTGCTCTAAGTACACGATTCAAGAAATTTGGCACACCTGCTTTGTTAGTGTATAAAAAAGAACAATTGATAGGAAACTTCGTGCACGTGACAGACTATCTAGGAACAGATTTTTACTCATCAGATGTGGAAGCATTTCTCATTGAACACGGAATGCTCACTGACAAAAACTGCGTACCTCTTATCATCTCAAAGGACGAAATCAAAGCCTCTGTTAGCGAATGAAAAAGATATTACTCGTTTTAAGAAAATTATCAAAATTTATTTTAATTACACAAAGTAATTCGCCAACTAACTGCCGATGAATTGCATAATTCATATAATTAGAATGAGTAGTTTCCTATAATTATCTTAATTAAACGTCGAAAGATAACTCTTAAAAATAAACTCATCAAAAGATACTTACAGATCAAGACAACTCAAATATAAATAAGAAAAGTAGATACAAATAATAGATTAAAAAAAAGAACAAATTAAAAGTAAAGAATTCTTCATTTTTCTCGCAATCTCGTTTTTTTGAATTAAATATTCCATTCATCAAATATCTTGCATTGCTCGCTTATAGAATTATTTTAACATGTTTAAAATTTGTTCCTTCTTCTTTATTGCTTTACAAAGCTCTATATAATTTTTTAAAACCTCGTCGTATTCCGTGTTTTTCAAGTTTTCATAGAGCTTTTTCAAGTCCTCTTTCTGGCGGATTTCATTTGTGACTGTCTTCAATTTCTCTTCAATCAATTGATTTAGCAGTCTGAAAGCATCAATGGTAGTTGGAGTCTCCTTAAACATCTTGATTCTACAAGAGAGCTTTGTAATTTTTGTTTGCAGCTCAGCAACTTGTGCTTGCAATAACAGATATTCCGATTTCTCTAAATAAGCTTTACTCATATCTTCATATTTTAGGTTATTCCATTTATCCATCAAGTTTATATATTTTTGCAAAGCATTTTTGTATTCTACAGTTGCTTCTTCAATTTTATTCTTCCATTCCATTATTCGTGTATCACATTCTAGAATTTTATAGCGCATGTTGTATTCATTGTTCTTCAATGCTTCCTTGACATTTCCTCCTATAGCTTCATATCTGTAACATGTAGAAAACAATACAATTTTGTTATGCTTTATGTAGAGATGTTTTAAATTACAAAATTAGATAATTTATCTTATAAATTAGATATATTATAAACATAGCAATATATGTATTAAATAAAAAATAAAATTATTTTATAATTATGATCATATTTACCTTAATACTATATCATGTATTTTCTCTCGAAGCATTGTTTCAACACAGCATTTTATTTCTAACTTTTCATCAAAAGTTAAATCAGATGATGGTAAATTATCAATTCCCAAAAGAGTCAAGTTGTCTTGCATATGCTTTGGTGAAAATGGAAGATGTATGTACTTGTCTAATTCATGAGTCAAGAGAAATTCATTTAGCTTGGTTACTGTATTTTTAGACAGAATATTTTTATGATTAAAACATGCTTCCTTTAAACACTGATAAACCATATTAGCTTTCATATATTCACACATATTTTCTTCACATAATGTTAAAGACTTCATTGTCTCCATTGAATTTATTCCATGAGTGGTTGTAGGCTTATTACTATTTTTTATAGCACTGGAATGATGGTCTAACAGAGTTTGAGACAAATCCATTCTGCCAATGAATCTACTGCTGGATTGAGAGATTGCCGAAATATTAGAAATGTCTGAAAACAAAACGTTACAAATTATTAATGTAATAATACATGATTAAGCTATCACTTATTTATTATTCACCTAATAACTGAGGCAGATCATTAAAATTATTCATGATGTGTGTCAAGCTCTTGATTAATAAATCTATAATTTTTAAATCATAGAAACAAGTGCAACACAACAACAGTATATAAACAATTCTTCCTTCCTCAAAATTCAAATTAAGGGCTTAACAAATGTCAGCTGATTGCAGTGCTACCAATGTTGAGTAACAGATCTATGCCAGCAGCACACGGTGCTTTTTTTATCTGCAGTTGGCAATTGGCCTTGCTCGGAGCCATTGGAATGAAATGGAACGGTGCTTTTTGTTTTCGTGCTGAATTGTTTACTAAATAGAAGTATTCTGCTTTGATTGGTGAATTTTTATCCATCTTCAGAAATGCACAAATCAAAACAGAGTATTTTTACCCAGCAAACATGATTTTCGAAACAGAGCCCCCCCTACCAGCCCCGTAATAAATAACTTCAATTGATGTATTCGAGTTATCGTCACAGTATTTAGCCATCTATTACATTGCTTACTTCTAGGTGAATAGCAGTAAACAAGTATGGCGACGACATTTACAATAAAATAAACAATGGGAAATATTTAGCATGATATGCTATAATTTAATTATGTGGCATGAGTTCGTCTGCTGTTCTGGTGTCTCTGTGCGTTATTCGCATTGAAATCTGTGATTTAGAATTAGAAGAATCTACCAGTGAGTAAAAATACTTTGGTACTTAATATATTAACCAAAATATAATCGCTATTAATGATTTAATAATATAACCTTGATTGAAAGTGACTAAAAATATCAATCAACTCTACTACATAAATATCTTATTATTATTTGTTTATTATATCAAAAAAATAATCCAATGTATGTATAATATATCGTTTTTTGTTTGATACATTAACATAAGAATATATATTAAACTCGTTTCTAAGAATGGATAAAAATGTTAATGTGCAGGTACAATGGCTATGAAAATGAGAGGTTGCAGGGAACCAAAAGATATCAATGTGGAAACGTATACAAATTCAGCAGAAAGTACATCCCCATTGTTATTGAGCCAAGGCACAAGCAAATCACATTCATCTTCAAGAGCTAATTCTGAAGAAACTTCATTTGCAAACTCTAACCATGTTGCAATTTCTAGTTCTGGAGAGGTAACTGGTGCTACTGCTTGTACATCACCAGATCAAATTAATTTCTTCTCAGGAAATCCATTTGTTGAAGTCACAAAAGGCATCCTTCACCTCTTCAAGGAAGAGTAAGTTATTAGATTGCATTGAAAAACATTTGACCTATATGTTAACAGATTTCAATACAAAATACAATATTGATTATTATCTTTGTTTGCTTAAGTGAACTGACTGAAATGCGCTGTGCTGCAGATCGCAGTCATACCATCTGTATGTTATCAGTACCAGCAACAATGACTTGCCATGATCTCTTAACTTTCACTGCAGCTTGTCATCAAGACATACAACATTTTAGGATACTCAGAAATGGTAGCCCTAATCAGTACATGGCTTTAATCACCTTTAGATCATCGGTAAGTACCATTAATACTTAAATTTTTTCTGATATTTTAAAAAAGTCAATTTTGTAATAAGAAATAATTATTTAAAAAATAAAATAATTGGTGTACTATAAGAATAAATATGCCTATATCTAGAGTTATAATGATCAAAGTTATAAAGTTAAATTTTGGATGTATTTTAGAGTGCAGCCAGTGAATTTTACGAAACCTTCAATGGCGCTCCTTATAACTCTCTGGAACCTGATGTAGTTTGTCACATGGTATTTGTGTCTAAAGTCGAAGTAGGAGACAACGGGATGCCTTTGAGTGGACATACAGAATTACCATCATGCCCTGTCTGCTTAGAAAGGATGGACGAAAGTGTAGATGGAATCCTGACAATATTGTGCAACCATACTTTCCATTCTAGTTGTCTCGTGAAGTGGGGCGATACATCTTGTCCCATCTGTCGATACGCCCAGACACCAGAACCATTAGCTGATAGTCGTTGCATGGAATGTGGTAAGTGTTCCTCTAACTTTGTGTTATTTGAAATTTAATATTGCCGTCTTAGTTATTCTTCTTTCTTTAAACCTAATAATTCTTTCATTACACTTTATACTCTAAAAAATATCGAAGTGCTAAAAGTTTCTATAAAATTCAGTATTCGTTTTAAGATATTTTTCATGTTTTGGGGGGAATTTTATAGTTGCAGATGCCAGTAATGACGCCTTATGGATCTGCTTAATCTGCGGTCATGTGGGCTGCTCGCGTTATCATCAGGGCCATGCATTTGAGCACTACCGAGACACACATCACTGTTACGCGATGCAACTCGGCAACAATCGTGTCTGGGATTATGTCGGTGACAATTTTGTGCACCGGCTGCTACAAGACAAGGATGGCAAAATGGTAGAAGGCGGTCGTACCGAGTCTAAAAGCGAAGGTGCTGCTGTAGAAGAGAAGGTTGACTCGGTGCAACTGGAGTTCACGTACTTATTAACGTCGCAATTGGAAACGCAACGTCAATATTTTGAAGAGAAGCTCAGCCGTTCGGAACAACGTTCCAAGACCGACATCACCGAGTTGAGAGACAAGCTGGGGGAAGTGCTAGAAGAGAATTTGCACTTTAAGGTAAACAATTCTTCTCTTTTTCTTTCTTATATCTTTTGTTTTCTACTCTCTAATTTTTTTTTCCTAATTTTTTTATCGGTTAGACTTTTTACAAAGTAAATATTTTTTATATTAGAAGCAGTTTTCCGCACTCAATCGCGACAAGCAGACACTGGAAAAACGTCTGCAACAGTCCACTAGTAAGTTAACACAAATACAAGCGGAATTAACTGAAGAGAAAGAGTTGAGGAAAGCCTTGCAATTGAACCAGACTTCATGGCAAACAAAATACAAAACATTGCAAGATGAACTGTCCGAATTAAAAACTACTAAAGAAACGGAAATCGTTGATCTCAAGGAACAAATCCGGGATCTCATGTTTTTTCTCGACGCACAAAATCAGATTGAAAAATCCGCCGACCGCGACGAAATTGCTGCCGGTCGTATTGTTGTTCCTCCAAGTCCTAGCAGTGGAAAATCGTCAGGATCTCGAGGCCGTAAGGGTCACAAAAAACATTGATGCTACTGAAAGTCATTAAATACTTGAAATTTTTTTAATTATTCAAACTCGAATTTTTATTTAACACAAAGAAAAAAGATTCACTTTCAAATATTTCTATTGACTTCCAAATAAAACTGTGGACACAATGTTTTGAGTGAAGATGTAAATTATAAGAACAATTATAATATCAAAAAACATTAAATGATAATTATATTGAAGAATTTTTTTTCAGTGATAATTTTAATACAAAGAAGATATTACTTAGCTATCTGTACAGAAATTTTAAAAAATTGTTGTTTATATTTTATCTGATTTATCTATTGATACAAATGTAAGTTTAAGATTAAAAAATAAAATATTGCAAATATCGTCTTTAATATATCAATATATAATGAAAAATCCTCATATATTTTCATCCTGCCTGAATCCGGGATTATCATACTGAAATTGATTAGCATTTAGTGTTGGTAACTGAGTGTCTGATGAATTTCTTAAATCATTAGCATTATCATAAATATCGTACGGCTGTTGTTTCTTTCTTTTTGCTAAAATCGTTGACCGTCTTCGTTCGAAAACACTGAATGCGCTCTTTGACATTCGTGAAGAAATGTGTTGTGATAAACCTGCAAAGTATATAATGTATTCAATAAAAAATATCACGCAAAAGTGTGTATAAATTTTGCTAAATCAATTTTGCTTAATAAATATTATTACATTCACATATAAGTATCTAGATTAATAGAATGCTTAACATATTGTTCAGCATGTTTTGCATCGCAAATTCAAAATATATTGAACTTAATTTTTTAGATAATAAAATTAACTTGGATTATAATCTTAATAATTTATGCTATTTCTCTATACATAAAACATACCTGATACGTTTGGATTACGGAGTTTTCGTCGAAATAGTTTTTCAAAATTCCCTATTTTCCTCAATGGCGATTGTGAATTCTGTGTTAATTCATGAACAGTCCTTCTTCTATTGGAAGCAGTCATGGTAGTGCGTCTATATTCATTAGTTATATCATCCTCTGCCATACGTTGAAGTCCCTGTGCTATAACATCAGCATCATTCTCAACAGTGCTGTCTTCTGAAGAAGTCACCTATAAAAATAATAAAAGCTACATGAGTTGCTAATCTATACATAAAATATATTTATCTAGTCTTTCTTTGAAATAAATCCATTTTTAATTATATATGCTATATTTAATATATTTATTGAAAAAAATAAAGAATATTAGGTATGATTAAATAATTTAAAGATATTACTTTAGTACAACAGAAAAGTTTGATCTTCATGTTAGCGAGCACATGGGTGAATGTGTCAAATCGATGAATTAACATAGCAATGAACTGGATGCCTAATATGCTAATAAATCCAATAATAAATAGACAACCAATTGGCTCGAGCCTTAAATATTGTTTTGTCAAATGCACCTGTAAAAAATTATATTGTAATAATACATAATGGTTAAAAAAGTTAGTTAGTAAATTATATGTTTAACGAAATATATAATATAATTATCACTAGAATATTCACCTCGCTTCTTTCTTCAACGTATGTAATATTGTACTTTATACTCAATGGCCATTGCAAATGCAGGACTTCCTTATTCAATTGCATGAGGAACATGCTTAGCACAAGTAAGGCATTTAACATAAAGAATCTCAGCAAATACGAGTTGCGACATTCCATCAGTTCCTGAGTTATCTTTTTCTAAAGAAAATATATTACATGGTCAAGCACAATAATACAGTAGCAAGAGTTTATTACCACACAAGAAGTTTCCGTCGATTATTCTCACTTCGCCTTTTTCTTATAAGATAAAAATAAATTTTATCTTACAGTAATATGTATATGTATACGTTCGAATTACACCTTTGAAGCTATTTTCAAAAAATACACTTACTTTCTTCTCATTGCTTCTCATTGTTTATCCGTCAAGATTCACAACTGACTGTCGCGAAACATAGTTTCAAGACCGTCGACTTCATAAGAACTGCGGGACTTCTGCTTAATTTTTTTAAATTTCTCATTGCAACTAATATTCTATCTTTTTAATAATAATATAAATATATTGATAGCGCAGATAAAGAAACGCATAGTATTATATAAAAATAAAACACGCATAAGAACCTTCTATAAATTAAAGAGATTTCTGTAATTCTTATGAAATTGACGGTTCTGAGGCTAAGTGCCGTAACAGTCAGTCACCAGGCTCGATAGATACGCGGGAGAAGCAATGGAAAAAAAGTAAGCGTAGCTCTTAAAAATAGCACCGAAAATATAAGTAATTCCGAACATTATCTTACAAAATAAGATAAAGATAAGACGTGCTTGCCTGACTCTCTTCATCGGTTTCAATAGGTCGTAAGTATTTCTCGATCAATTCTTTCCAAAATTCCTCTTCATGGTTCGACAGAAAATCCACCTCACCTTTTCGCATTCTCTCATCTTGGAGCCAGTATGGACTGATGAGGAAGCTGGAATGTTCGTGACTCGAAGTCACCGACATTTGCGTCAAAACGTCACTATACTCGTCACCATCCCCATTCTCACTTTTATTATCGTCTCTTATGTGTTGTAATTCAATATCCTGATTCAATCCTTCTTCTATCGTCTCTTCTATCGGCGAATATAATCTTGTATATTTATTAGTGTGCGGAGATGATTGGATGATGCTACTAGTCTCTATACGTGCTAATCTGTAAGTATTAATAATTTCGATTAAGATCTATAAGTATCAATAATTAATTATGTACTATATGGAAGAAATACCGACTCTTTATGATAAAATAATTAGTTCGATAAATTCAAAATAACTTGTTTCAAACATAACTGAAAATAACGATTTTATCAAACCTGTCTAGCAATCTCAGACGTTTATCTATTTGTTGTAAAGAGTCGTTAATTTCATTCAGTCGCCTCTCTTCGTGACTGATCCCTGTATTAATGCAACAGATGCATCTGAAAAGATTTCCTAATGAAAAATCCAATGAACCGTCCTTTTGATTTTTATTCTGCTTGTTCCATTTTCCTATCACATTTCCGGAATTGCCAGTTTTTGATGATCTTTGTTCTTCTTGAGACTGTTTTAATATTTCATTACATGATTATTTTTTAGAATTAGGAGTAATCTTTTAAAATTATTTCCCGTACGGGACGTACAATATATCTTCGAATAAATCGGATTTAGCAAACAGTGGAATACTTACAATATTTTTCTTCTTCTCTCGCGTGCCCCACGTGACGTTGTGCACGTTGAAAATGGAAAAGATGGTCAACAACATGTACATGGACGGCACAGTAATGTAATAAATAACACCGCACAACAGACACGTCCACTCCTGGGGATGTAATAGGCCAGCCACAATCAACTGTATCGCGACAATAAAGAAGAGAAGACTGCTGGGTGCAAGCCATCCATCTTCCGCAATTTGCAACATGATTCCCACCAGAACGATTATCATTACCAGTCCGTAAATAACGCTGATGATCTCAGCCATTAATAACTGCACAAATTAATAATACTCATCAGACGCTGTTGCTTTCAATCCAAAATTATTAACTAATCTAGTAAATTCGTGAGAGAGAAAGGTGTAGCAATTGCTATATCTGGTAGCATTAGTACTTAGTGTTTCATTTCTATGCACTTTCTATGTTTATAAAGCACTATTACCTATTATTATAGCCACTATTATTATAGTTGTACCTGTATGCGCTCCTTGCAGGTAAAACAAACTCCAACGAACACGCCAATTGGAATTAGATTATACAAAAAGCTGGTCCAGTTATCGATATGAAAAGCAGAAACGAATGCACCGACTAACATCAAGAATATCGTACCAGGTCCTAAGATAGTGCTCCCTTCAAAATAAGCATCGATAATATTAGCATAAGAACATTAAAATTAATGTTACATTGATCAAACGTATAAAGTATGCACCCATCAGAACCCATTGATAAGCGATATATAGCCACGAGATGTCATTATTTTTCTTCCTCGTTAGTCTAGCTGTCATCAGCAAGTCGAATATATTCGCGAGAGTGGAGGGAATCCATCTGCGACGTTGTATGAAGACATCTTTGAAGACTTCCGGTGCGTGAGTATATGCATCGCTAGCTGCCGAATATTCAACCTGATAAAATAAAATTTTAATATTATTTTTATTACTTATACATTGCTTTATTTGTTTTTATTTTTTAATATAAAAAATAACGATTTACCCGTGAACCCACTTGGAGCAGCAACGTGCACAGCCATCGATCCTCGCCTTGATCATACTGGATATAATGCCTAGCCTCGGTCGACTTGGTAGCATATTTTGCCATTACATTGTTCTGCATCAATGCATTCGCTCTAAACAGGGAGAAACAGCCAGGACTGCATAAAACACAACCGATTGTGTGCTCCGTAGATTTTTGTAACCAATGACCAATGGCATATTCGAACTTTTGAATCCAAACTATTGGACCTATTAACACAATAAAAAATTTAGAAGTTCAAAAGATCTTAATAAATGCTACACAAACAATTTTAGGGTTGAGTAGTGTGATAATAGTGCAATAGTTGAATAACAAATAAATTAAAATAGATCAATTGCAATGCGCCTTTTCTTAATGCACATATTTTTTTATAAATTTCTATAAAATATCTAAGTAGCTATATACATTATAATTTGTTACGAAGTCGTCTAAGATCAATTTTTCAGATAAATTTTTCTGAAGCCGTGTCAGTCAGTTAACGAACAGAAAAAATCTATGTCATTACTTCGGTTAAAATATTTAACATCAATTTATCTCATCCTGTGCTCTATACCTGATCCGACCGGATGTATCCGACCACATGCAGCACCGAGATCCTTATCCTTCTTCATCAGATCTACTAGAACTTTTACAGCTGACGGCTGGAAGTCAATATCTCCGTCTAACGTAAGAATGTATGTATTTGCAGCGATGATCTCTTTTCGATCCACGTCGATCGGCAGTGCCATTAGACGATAACCCAGAAGGTAATACATGTACATGACCTAGATGATATAATACTGATTTTAAGAATTTATAATTATGCTTAATAAAAATTTTATAAGATATCTATCTACTCACTTATGCGTTTACGTATTTATTTCTATACCTACCCAGATAGCCAAACCTGCGCGAACAGATTTCGAGCAGAACTTGCTACCAATTTTTGATGGCAAATAGATAACAAATTTGATGCAAGATCTGTTATATCAAATCTTGCTGCCAAACTGTCGCCAGATATGCTACAGAGCCTGTTGTCGGATAATTGCTGCAGATTTGCAGCAAAAACCGTGCAGAATTTGTAGCAATCTGACGGCAGATTGGCGGCAGAAACCGCGTAGACCTTGCTGCGCCGCAGGCTCTGCGCGGTTTTTGCTGCAAATCTACAGCAATTGCCCGACAGCAAGCTCTGTCGCCAAAACCGTAGCTGAATGAAGACACAGATAGCTATGGTTTTGGTGTAAATTTTTTATCAAATTTGCTGCCAATTTGCGCGCAGTCTGCGCTCAATTTGCTTATTGCAATTGAGTATTTCTATATCTATTTGCTCATACCTGACTCCATCGTTTTCTGTGTCTAATCTTATTATTATCCTTCAGATGAACTATCAGTTGAGTTTTCCCTGGCAATGTCCACATAAGACGACCGCCATAAGGTGTCGGATATTTGATGGGCGGCGAAGAACGCATATACATGTTCTCCACATTTCTTTGAACCGTTTCTACCAGTATCTCCACATACTGATTGACTTGTGTCTCATTCTCGTCGTGATCGCATGAACCAATGCAGCCATGCATGCAGCAAAATGCGTCGTCGAAAAAGATATGCGCTAATAAAAGAGAAATTTATAATTGAAACTAACACTTATAATTAAACCAATGTTTATTATTGAAAGGAAACTTGTAATTTCTAAATTGTTACATGTCTTTTAATTGTAATAGTTTATAATAAATTGTAATAGTTTATAATAGTTTATAAACTTACTTTCCAGCTCATAATAATCCTTAATGTAAATTTTGTAATGTTTCTGTGTGACGTACATTGCGCACTGATCCTTGTCTAATCGCAGAATACTATTTATCAACTGATTCATCTCGTTTTTTTCTTCATGCCACATCGTGGCGCATGCATAAATTTTCGTAACCCGATCCTTGCGTTTATTGTCCGTTGTATCCAGATCGATATCGTTTAATTCCTGTTGACTTATTTCATTATCTAAACTCATCCCGATAGTTTTATTTCTTAGTATGCCATTCTGAAATTTTCATTGACTAATAACAAATAGAATAATGACAATAAATCGAAAAAATATTTAATAACAGGTTATTTCTCTTTAACTTCTTACTGGAAATTGAGTGTTATCATTGATTCTCTTATCGTCTTCAATAACATTTTCATATTGTGTTCTTCTATTCAGAGCTAAACCTTGATCGATCATAAGTGAATCATAAATAATCGTGGAGAATATTTTCTCTACTAGCGCCAGTCTTTCATTTTCGGTGGTCCACAGATGCATCGTAATCCATATTTGCGATAATAGCCATATTGGCCAGCACCAAACATACCAATTGGTAAAAAACTCTCTCCAATCTCTAAATGTAGTGTCTCCGAAGAGAAGGTAATCTGGTACGACATCATTGAAGGCACAAATGTCTTTGTTCCTAGTAATGCACAAGGATACAATCAAGCACACTGTTCCAAAACTGACTAAACTTGTTGGAAATGCGAAACCAAATTGATGCATCTGACTCCTGTAGGCAAATTTGCCTGAAATTGTTGGAATTTGATTTAATTTCCCTTAAATATTCTATAAAACATTTTTTTAATTTCACTTCTATTTATATTTATACAAAGTTCTCTCATAATGTGACTTTAGTGAGTTCAATTATCTAGACAAGTACTTACAAGCTTGATATACCACTATGGCGCAGACAGCTTGAACTGCCAGAACGTAAAAAGGTATAGAACCGTTTTCAATTAAAAAATAAGAATGTTCTTGGAATACGATGTTAGTGAAACAAGTGAAGAAGACATGATCATGAGAAACGTCCCCTGGAGTAGCTGGGACTAATCTAATCTTGTGTCCTTCACTGAATTTGGGCGACAAGAAGTCTTCGACGTTTATTCCATCGCACATATTGACGATGAGAACACCTGCAATAAAGATGAACGTTCTCCAAATGGACACTCCTCCTTGTACGATGTGTTGGCTTGCTTCAAGATTCTTCTTCACAGACGACAGGTAACGCAGCAGACCTATTTTAGTCATTAAATATAATAGTAATTCTCAAGAAGACGGGTTTCCTCACCGATTTGAAATATTGTGTATTTTATTGCGCAAAACACCCCATTGAAAATTCCTCGCTAAAAAATATATTATTCAATTTTTTTATTACAAAACTAGAGTTTATATTCTTAAACCATATTTCAAATTTTTCGCTCATTTTACTGCGCATGCTATATGCTCGTGCGCTATTCACATGCTTTTCCAATCTTCAAACTGTCACTTTTTAACACCTTATTATTTTTGTTTTACTTAAAAGCGACGATTTTAACTTTCACACTGCTATTTTGCGCAATAAAATATATAATATTCCAAAGTTTCAGGCAAATAGGTAAGGAAGCCCGCCTCCTTTACAATTATCAAAATAATGATTTCAATTACAATATCATGTTTTGTCATTTACGCCATAATTACGCTGTAAGAATTTCAACTAACTCAACGATACATTAAAAACATATGATAAAAAATCGATTATAGATCTTGAAAGATACATTATCATTATTTCATGTATGTATTATTGGTTAGTCTCTTTAAGATGATGTGAATCTTTCTTTTATCTTCACAAGCCAAAAGATTTTTTTTATAAGAAATTTTTAAACGATAAATTTAATAATGAATTTAATTTATAAAGCAACGCTTAAGATTCATACGTACCAATGTTGCTGTGAGATGACACAAAGTTACCCCACCAACGAATTGAACATAATAACAATGCAATGGGAAAGAGCCATGTGGAAGTTTTACTAACATCATGTTCAATCAAGGGCCGTAGAAACATTCCACTGAGTTGTGCAACTAATGACAATATGTCGAAAACGAAGAACAACGTTATCATTTTTACCGTCAAATTCCGATTCTTTCCGTTTTGCGAAAGTAAATCTGTTAAATATTAATAATATTAGGATTTAACAATTGAATTAACGAGTGAGAAGTAGAAAAAGAAGTACACGTTTCATCATTTTATATTAAGCAACGATATTAATATGTCTTTAAAATATTGTAAAGTAGAGATTTATCAATTAAACTTACTTAACAATGCCGGCACGAAACAGAGACAACAGAAAATAACAGCACCTTGCACTGCGCCAATATCTGGCAGAATGACGAAAGTCAATAGCACTAAACCGATCGTGTGTCCTGTTTCTATCATTATCAAGAGTAGGAGATTTTGTATACTTGGTATTTCAGGTTTTTTCTTGAAGGAAAAATACCATAAGGCGTTTAACAGGCTAATGCATTCCGGCACGAGAAATATAAAAATTAAACACCAGGTCCATTTTATAAGACCACCTTGAGTATGTTCCATTACGTACCAATGTCCTTCAATCTCTAAATAAATCAGTAGTTTTATATAAAATAAAAATCTTTGATAGAAATGTTTGCCGAAACAGAATGATAATAGAATGTAAGATAGAATTGTAACATAATAACGTCATAAATGATAAGATAAGATTCAGTGATATCATTTCTTTCAATAATAAATCACAATAATAAAAACTCAAAGTTTTCTTCATTGTTAATTTTAATTTTTACAAGTTGTATTCTAAATCCAATATTTATTTTGAATTTAAAAAATTCGTAGTTTATCCACAGTGAAATTTCATAAATTTCAAACTTTAATATAACCACAAATACACAAATCTAAAATTCCATGCAAAATTTAGGTTGCCAAATCTAAGATCTAAAATCTAAATCTAAGATCTAAAATTCCAGATTGAAAAGCTTTTGCATCGTAAATATTATTTCTAAATCACATATTCCCAAAACTAAAATCTTACCTAGACTAAAATCGTAATAAGACAACAATCGATTTTTCTGCAATTGTGAAGTGGCAAATAGAACAGCTGATTTAGCTGCAATGGCACCGCAAAAAACTACAGCGAATAGCAAACCATAAACGAGCACTTTTACTGTCCAAATAATCTTCTTAAAGAAATTATTATTCTGCATAGACCCATCTCTCGATGGGGTGGGAAAAGTTTTGAACAGATCCCATGATGGGACATCTTTCTGTGAACTAGAATACATATAATTAGAAGAGCAATTTTTGACTATAACTATCACACTATTCTCTAAATTATTGAAATAAATTCAGTTCCAATATCTCTAATTTACCTAATTTTTCTATGTAAAGTGATATCAGAGATTCTAATTTTCAAAGTACATACCTCTCTTCCTCACTATCATTGGATTCAGAACTGCTGTCATCATAGTCGTTTAAATTGCCGAAAACACTGGCTCTCGGTCCATCTTGCACACTTATTCGCGACATGGATATAATTTGCGCGACTTGTAGAGATTGATATATCGTATCCGTCTGCGATATTAACAATAAATGCGTCGTGACGACCGACCAAGACCATCATCGATGGCCATCGATTATCACGATAAGGTAAGATAACATTCAGGCCAATTCGGTAAATGGACTATCGGCATATTTCCGCATGTATTGATCATTTAGATAACGCTACAGTACGCACGTGAGCCAGTAGACTGATAGGATGAACATTGCGAATGACTGTAATATGAATTTTTGAATTAATAAAGAAGCTAAGCAGAATAATGTTTAAACTGAGAAGAAATATAAATTACTTTACTTAAAATAAGTAAACCATTAAAAAGATATATTAAAAAATTTGTTCATCTAATTTTCCTATATCATTTAGAAGTAATTTTTAGAGATGATTTTCCATAAAAAGCTTACTTTTCATCTATTTTTATAACACAATATCACTCATGTTGCTTTGAAGAAATATTAGTTAACACATCCTTTACCTTTCAAGAGGATACTCAACTGGGGAACTCTGATAAAAAAAAAAAACGCCCCACCAAACGTCATCTCATTTTGTATCATTATTCGTGGTAGATTAAGAAATTACTAATACATCATGAAAGTATGTTTCATAAAATAATATTCTTTATTTCATGTTTCAGCGATAACATGCATTATTCAAAACATTTGATTACGTTTTCTTTGTATTATCTTATAGAACAAAACCCATAATCGATCGCTGTTCTTATTACAATAAACAAGGAATAATATTTGAACAAAGCTTTACGCAGCTGAGTTCAAAGCCGAATAATAAGAAAATAACATATTTCTAATATAACCTTCATTTTTTAACATTTCAATCTTCGACGCACTTATTGTGCCTTCGTGATACCAATGACACCGCAAGCTAAACGAGCGCCAGCATTGCCGGTAGTCTTCGAGAGCTCGTGGCCGCCCTGACCCAAATCATCAGGATCAGCATGGACCTATTTAAAAAAAAAAAAAAAAATTAACGAAAGTAAACTTTTCAATTAAAAAACTTTTAAATTAAAAAAGAAAGGTAAACTATTTCCTATATTATATGTATTAGAATATAAAATTAATATAAAATCAAATGTGTAAAATTATGACAAAAAGAGATGAATAATGGATAAGTGAAAATATAATAAAAGAACAAAATATTCTGTATTAGAAAATTCCATTAATAAAATAAGAATTCCTACAATTTGTGACTATATTCCTTACAGCATGCTGAAAAAATAGAGTAATCTCAAAGTTTTATTAATAATGATTATTAAAATTTATTAATATTGATAACAATGCAAATAAAAAAGATTGGTTTGTTTCTTATTTTACTAAAACAAAATAATGAAATTTAAAATGAGAATATATGTACCACAAGAGTTCGTCCAATGATACTGTGCGGTCCACATAGTTGGATTTTGGAATCAGAGATGTTGACTTTAGCAACACCATTGTCAGCAGCCTCCACGTTTCCTAAATCTCCAACATGACGTTCAGCATGGCTTGGACCACCATGTTCCTTGCCTAATGGATTGAAGTGGGCACCTGCACTTGTGCAACCTACAAGACAAAAAATTTATATTTAAAGAGAATTATATATTTGTATAAAAAAAAATGTTTAATTAAATGAAATGTATCAAATATTGCAAATCAGAAGATTATGATAAAAGTAATAGAAAAAATTAACTATAATTAGAAAATCTATAATTAGCAGAAACATGATATTACAAGGTCATCACACATAAGTTGTCTATCATCCCTCCTCACTATCATCATATAAATAGATATTGATATCATATTTACTTTTCATTTATCTCAATTAACTTTCCATTGATTTCACAGAGGACAAAAATAAATTTAATGCAACCAAATCAGTAAGATACATCCAAAAAAATTTGATAAATAAAATATAAGATTATATAAATTTAGAAAATTTGTTAATAAGCAATCTTAATTTTGAGATACTCTTATATTATGAATCAACAACAATCTTTATATAAAACTAAGAATTTAGAGATTTCTATATAAATCCTATTATTATAATTTTGAATTCTCGTGCCTAAATCATATAAGTAATAAATAAAACACTTAAATGATATTTTCTTTTAAATATATACCATTGGTGTTATCGCCAAATTCATGAACATGAAAACCGTGTAAGCCTTTCTGCAAACCGGAAACCTCTCCAGTCACTTTCACTGTATTTGAACCTTCCTGTAATGCAAATCAAATGCTTACAATATTTACAAATAAAGTTCTTAAAAGTCAATGATTGATCTAATTATCTAATTAGACTTTCTGCATATTTCTTAAATTAGCTTAAAAATATACGTACAAGACTATTAATGTGTTTTAAACACTTTACATAAAACTTAGGAATAAGAAACTGAGAATATATACTCAGAATAAATCAAAATCTTGTGACTAAAAAAAAATATCTTTAATAACGCAATAAACTCAAAGCCACAATTTCCGGTATAATGTAGAGTGGTTTGGCGACCCGAACACTCGACGTAGTTTAACTAGTTAACTTAGATTCAATTAGCAATAATCAACAAGGCCTACCGCTTGTTCAAAATACAATGTTCCCTTGACTGGCTCGCCCTGAAGGACACAGACTGCTTTGGTGACCGTCATTTTGTGACTTACAGAGAAGTTTGGAACCGGCTGCGTGGATCGTTTGCGACAGACTGCGCGACAACGCTGGTTATGCAAGAATCTAAAAGATTAGATTGCTGAATCACGACCAATCAGGGTGGCAAAAAAAACGCTGACACACTATACACAACCGGTTGATAAGTCGGTAGAATTTCAAATGATGCAAAATGGCTGATAGAACGGCTCAGAAACTACAGTTGTCTGTGTTTATTGTACTTTCTACACTTTATTTTTTCGCGTCTTTCTCTCCGAAATACGTCGCATATATTTATCTCGCCTGAGTGTGTAGAAAGTGCAACTGCAACGGGCAAATTCAGAGTCGTCAAGTGAGACATGGATAATACACATAGATGGTACAATCCATATAGAAACTCGCAAAAGTGATGCTAGCGACACGCGTCGCACAAAAGAAGCTCGGCAATGCGCGAAATTTAAATCTCTATTTCGATTTCTTGAAGATCTCGTACACTTAACATGTTTAACACTTTAATATGTTCACTGCCTATCACGCGCCAGCACATGATGGATTTATGTTCAGTTAAGGCTCCTGGCCTCTCGCATTGTCAATCTCTTTTTAATAACGTCAGAAGCGAGAAAATGCATGCTAAAAATTCTTGCGAAATACGTTAAAACAAAAATATATATCCATAAAGTAACATTTGCAATCGATTAAGCAAATTCCGTGATATATTCCGTAAGATATTCCGTGCAATTTCCTTTTGTTCTAACAATCAATAATTTGTCGTAAATTAACG